ATGGGTGTTGAGCCGCACCCCAATGGGGCCTAGCAATAAGAGACCTACCAATGGCGCTAGACTGGCAGCTCCACCTCCTAACGGACGCGTTCACCCTTCAGGAAAGCCGGTCATTGAGGTAACTCGAGAAATTCCATACTTTCCAGGAGGAGAAGGCCGTCGTTTGACGTTCGCATGTGAGTTGCTGTCAAATCCAGGTATTTTGTTTTGCGACGAACCAACCACCGGATTGGATTCATTTATGGCCGAGCACGTCGTCGTAGTTCTGTCAAAGCTAGCAAGAAGTGGAAGGTTTGTATCTGAATCACTAAGTCAGACTGATAAGAAATCAGGGCACGTTGTACGCCGGGGACCCCGTGTGAAAGGGCTCGTATTTGGTCGCTCGAGGGGGGAGAGCTCGTATTTCGCTTTTGGCTTCAAAATGTTTCTTGTTTTTGCCTCTTCTTTCCTGTTTCAAATGTGATGGATTTTTGGAAAGAAAACTGCGGCAAGGTAGTGGGATGCTGTAAAAATTTTGAAAAACGGTAGGCATGATGGGGGATTAGGAAGGGGGTCGTACCAAAAGAAAAAAATTCGAGAGGGGGGTCACACTCGTAAAAAAGGTCTCTGCGTAAGACGTGCTCTGTCGAGAATAACGCGAGAGTATTTCCCTCTATTTCAGGACAATCGTGTGTAGATACTCAGACGCCCTTACACAGATTGTTCGCTCTGTTGATAAGTGAACGTTATTAGGTGAGGGTATTATTTTGGAATTGAGGTTTTGAGTCGTCTGAGTTTCTCGAGCCCCTCTCCAAAAGGACGGCTACTTTGACGTCGCGTTTACAACGTACTATTTAGCCTGAAATTAGTAGCTGACTAGTGACGGTCGCCCCCCCCCCTCTCTTCCGCCATTCACTATGGCAAGTGACGCCCCCCCCCTTCTCCATTCACTGCAGTTTTTTTTGGGAAACTACTGGAGAAGTTCCGGAAACTGGGAATATATGAGAACATATCTCGTGCATCACGCGGGAACCTAGCGAGGCTCATTACCAGCAGGATATCTTCACTTTGAACCTTGAACACCTTCCCTGTTTTGGTGTTTACCCCTAGTTTCATCGGACGGACCTTAGCAATATAGTCGTAAAAAATGTAGTGAGAACAGTCCCTTATCTATTCTTATAAATTGATATGATTACCTGCCACCGGTCGCCAATGATCCCACAAAAAAAACGTTTATGGTTTGATGGTATGAAAGCTTTATTGCCTCAAAGAAGAACGACAGTGACAGCGCACATTATCATCCCCAATCAGCTGCTATCACTTTTTGTCAGCCACCATTTAATATTCCCGTCGTAATACCACTATATAGCCTGTTCTAAACAATTTCTCACTCTGCTGGAACGGGCACTATGAAGTTGGTGACCCTCCTCTTCTATTATAACTTCCTTATCAAATCTTGCCAGATGCTACCACTCCCTGTCACCCACCAATAATGTTCCACGGCCGCTGCATCACTTCTTATAACCAACTTGCCAGTGCTACTGAGAAAGGCGCTAAGAATTCCGTGACACACGGACACATATACAGGGGGGCCAAAAAAAGTCACTTCGACCGAGTCACATATCAGCAAAGTTTTCGCAGCCCAGACAGAGACGTGGATACGAGTACCAGGGCGGAAGATACCCAAGATGTTCCTCGATAAGCAGGAGCTGGCCCTCGCCCATCACCTTCATGTACACCAAAATATGAAGTCATCTCCAGTCGCAGCCTGACTGGAGAAGACCTTTGGAATTCATGTCACCTCCAAACAGCTGCGAAACTTCTAGTATGGAGTCACCCATGGATAGCTACCTGGAGACCAGTACTCTCAATCTGGAAGACCTCCAACATCGAGCAGCTCCGACAACGTCGCTACGGTCTAGGACATCATCTTCACGGCAGTCGCCAAGGCGCGGGTTGATGGTATGGACCGGACGCACCTGGAATGGAAAGACCAATATTTTCTTCGTGGACCCCGGGCTGAAGCTGAGCGCTGGCGGTTACATCGACCAACTCAAGAAGAATATCTT